GGCTGAGGGCGCCGGGCGATGGGAGAGGCTGGGGCCCGGCCGCGGCCCTCGCAGGCCGCCTCCCCTGAGCCTCTCGCCCCGGCTTTCGCCTTTCCCTGGGAACTTTCCCGTCTGAGTTAACTATTAACCGCTGGCGAGAGGCAATTTTCTTCGGAATTTCAGCGATTTCCTTTTCGCGGTGGAGGCAGATTAACATGCAAATGGTGAGATGCTCGGCTTGAGTCTACGCGCGGGCGAGGATGCCTCTGCCCCTCCAAACAGTGTCCTTCGCGACGGCGGAAAACTACAGCTCCGGCCCCCCCGTGCCGGCGCAGGAAGCCGTGACCAAGCCAGTGCCAGGCCGGTGCCCCGGGTGAGGGTGGAAAAAGCCGAGCTCTCGTGCTTGGGGGTGGGGTTAAGGGGGGAGCCTAACCCAGCCAAGCCCCAGGAACCTCAGACTCGCCGCCTGGCACGGCCAGCCGAGGAGCCTGCGACCAGTACAGCCTGGTCCCTACTCGTAACCCCGGACGCCGGGACGCTTGTGGAGGCGTTGGCAAACTCGGGGGAAAGTCTTTCCTACTTGCAGACTGTCCCTTACTTCCTCCTCCTTCACCACTGCCGATCACCCCCAAAACACAAGCACACACACCCTGCTCTGGCTTGTGATTGCTGCAAACTTTGTCAAACTTGAGCCGCTGGGCACAAAGTCCTCGTCTTTCCTCCTTCCCTCTCTTGCCCGGCTTGCTCTTCCTGGAGCAAAATGGGAGGCGGTTTTCGGCCTCCAGACCTGGGAAGGAGCAGTTTCCGAAAGTCAGGGTCTTGCCTCCCTGGGACTTTAGCACCCCCGGCGGTAAGCCAAGCTGCAGGTCACCCAACGCGTTCCACGGCGGAATGCGCTAATGGTTGCAGCCAGGAGGCTTGGCAGGGCCCTGGCCGACAGCCCCGCTGCGGCCTGGACCAGGCCTTCTCAGGGTACCGGCCTCTGCTCCTCACTATTGCCGTCGGGCCGTGCTGGGCTCGGAGCTCGGGTTCAGGGCTGCCATTGCCTCGCCGAGCCGTCCTCTGCGTTCGCAGTTTTTCTAGCTTATTTTCCCCCAGCCCACTCCCAGGGCGAGCTCTCTCTCCGACTGCCTCGCGGGCTCCATCTCTGGCGGGCTGCCTCTGCCTCTCTGTCTCTCCCTGTCTCTCTGTCTCTGTCTCTCTTGTTTGTTTCAACGCGCGGACACTGATTGCGCCTTATGAAGTTCTAACTGGTTTTGTGTCAGGAAGATCTTTCTCGCTGCTACCCAGCCTGGCGTGACGGATTAAACATCAACTAGTTAAATAAAAATTAATATCAACTGCCTCCTAACTTCTAATGTCATGTTGTTTATAACTAATGAACTGATTAGGGGATAAACACATCACGAAGACATTCGGCTCTCCTGCCGGGGCTCCACCGCCGCCCAGTGCCCACTCCCCAGCACCACCTGCCTGCTGCCAGGCCAGGAACTGAAGGCTGCCAGCCCCCTGGGGCTTGCTTCTCTGCCTGCCTTGGTCTCTTTTC